GCTGCTGATCAGGGTGGTGGGTGATGCAGGTCGGGGTGGCTGTGGCCATTTCTTAAAATAAGAAAACAATGAAGTTGCCACATCAGTTGACTGTTCCCATTATGGAAGATTTCTCGGTAGCATGTGACGCTGTTTGACAGCATTTTCTCCACAGTGGATGTGTTTCAGAATGAGTCAATTCCCCCTCAAACCCTGCTGCTGCTTTAGCGACAATGTTTATGGAATATTCTAAATCCTTTGTTGTTATTTCAACGATGTTCGTAGCATCTTCACCAGTAGATTCCATCTCAAGAAACCACTTTCTTTGTTCATCCGTAAGAAGCAACTGCTCATCCGTTCAAGTTTGCTCACGAGGTTGCAGCAATTCAGCACATCTTCAGGCTCCACTTCTAATTCTAGTTCTCTTGCCATTTCCACATCTGCAGTGACTTCCTCCACTGAAGTCTTGAGCCCCTTAAAGTCATCCGTGAGGGTTGGAATCAACTTCTTCCAAACTCCTGTTAATTGTTGATATTTTGACCTCTTCCCATGAATCGTGAACGTTCTTAATGGCATCTAGAATAGTGGATCCTTTCCGGAATGTTTACTTTTGTCCAGATCCTTCAGAGGAATCACTCTCTATGGTAGCTATAGCCTTATGGAATGCATTTCTTAAGTAAAAAGATTTGGAAGTCAAAATGACTCCTTGATCCATGGACTGTAGAATGGATGTCGTGTTAGCAGCATGAAAACATTACTCTCCTTGTACATCTCCATCAGACCTCTTGGGTGACCAGGTGCATCGTCAATGAACACTTAATATTTTGAAAGGAATTTTTTTTGTCTGAGCAGTAGGTATCAACAGTAGGCTTAAAATACACAGTAAATCACTCTGTAAACAGATGTGCTGTCATCCAGGCTTTGTTGTTCCACTTACATAGAGCACAGGCTCCATAAATGGAAGAATAGATTTAACATAACTCTTAAGGGCCCCAGGATTTTCAGAATGGTAAATGAGCATCGCCTTCAACTTAAAGTCACCAGCTGCATGAGCCCCTAACAAGCATCAGCTTGTCCTTTGAAGCTTTGAAGCCAGGCATTGACTCCTCCTTTCTATCTATGAAAGTCCTGGATGGCATCTTCTAGTAGAAGGCTGGTTTCTGTACACTGAAAATCTGTTGTTCAGTGTCGCCACCTTCCTCAGTGATACCAGCTAGATCTTCTGGGTAACTTGCTGCAGCTTCTCCATCAGCACTTGCGGCTTCACCTTGCACTTTTATGTTATGGAGACAGTTTCTTTCCTTATACCTCATGAACCAATTTCTGATACCTTGCAACTTTTTTTCTGCAACTTCCTCACCTCTCTCAGACGTCACAGAATTAAAGACAGTTTGGGCCTTGCTCTGGATTAGGTTTTGGCTTAAGGGAATGTTATGGCTGGTTTGATATTCTATCCAGACACCTCAAACTTTCTCCGTATCAGCAATAAGGTTGTTTTGCTTTCTTAACATTCATGTGCTCACTGGAGCAGTACTTTTAATTTCCTTCAAGAACTTTTCCTTTGCATTCACAGCTTGGCTCTGGTGCAAAAAGCCTAGCTGTTGGGCCATCCTAGCTTTCCACATGTCTTCCTCATTAAGCTTAATCATTTCTAGCTTTTGATTTAGTGAGAGATGTACAACTCTTTGTTTCACTTTAACACTTAAAGGGCATTGTGGGGTTATTCACTGGCCTAATTTCAATACTGTTGTGTCTCAGGGAAGAGGGGGCCCTAAGGAGATGGAGAGAGATGGAGAAACATAGCTGGTTGGTGAAGCAGTCAGAACATACATGTTTATTAAGTGTGCCACCGTCTGATACAGGCATGGATCATAATGCCCCAAAACAAGTGTAACATCAAAGATCATTAATCACAGATCACCATAACAGATATAATCATAATAAAAAAGTTTGAATATTGAGAGAATTACCAAAATTACCAGAGACACCAAGTTAGCACACGCTGTTAGAGAAACGGCACAGACAGACTTATGCGATGCAAAGTTGCCACAAACCTTCAATTTGTAAAAAAAAAAAAAAAAAAAAAATGCAATATCTGTGAAGACAATAAAGTGAATAAAACGAGGTATACCTGTATATTGAAATGCATGCAAAACTAAACAATGTATTTTTTACAGACAAAAATATGAAGAATAGGAAATGATAAACCAAATTCAGAGTAGTGGTTACCTTTGCTCAGTGGGGATCTCAAAACATCTCCTAAAACTTGGGTGGGAGTTACGAGGATTTCTATTATATTTCTTGTTTTAAGACTTACATATGTTTAATATTCTTTTATATCTTGTGATACTTAATAAACATTTTTTTAAAGATACAGGAAAAGGGCTGGGCATAGTGGCTCATGCCTGTAATCCTAGCACTCTGGGAGGCTGAGGCAGGAGGATCGCTTGAGCTCAGGAGTTCGAGACCAGCCTATTTCCAGCAAGAAACCATTTCTAGCAAGAGCAAGACCCCGTTTCTACTAAAAATGGAAAAAAATGTAGCCAGGCAACTAAAAATAGAAAAAATTAGCAGGGTGTGGTGGCGCATGCCTATAGTCCCAGCTACTGAGGAGGCTGAGGCAGGAGGATCACTTGAGCCCAGGAGTTGGAGGTTGCTGTGAGCTAGGCTGACGCCACGGCACTCTAGCCCAGGCAACAGAGAAAGACTGTGTCAAAAAAAAAAAAAAGATACAGGAAAAGAATTAAGCCAACATAAAAGAATGATTACTCTATCCTTCAGAGTCCAATATCCTTCCCCACAATATTGGCAAAAACTACACAGTGTTCATTCAATTTAAGACTGAACTCGGCCGGGTGCAGTGGCTCACGCCTGTAATCCCAGCACTCTGGGAGGCCGAGGTGGGCGGATCGTTTGAGCTCAGGAGTTCGAAACCAGCCTGAGCAAGAGCGAGACCCTGTCTCTACTAAAAATAGAAAGAAGTTAATCGGACAACTAAAAATATATAGAAAAAATTAGCCGGGCATGGTGTCGCATGCCTGTAGTCCCAGCTACTCGGGAGGCTGAGGCAGGAGGATCGCTTGAGCCCAGGAGTTTGAGGTTGCTGTGAGCTAGCCCGGGCAAAAGAGTGAGACTCTGTCTCAAAAAAAAAAAAAAAAAAAAAGACTGAACTCACTGGCGAGAGTCAGTACTCTGGGTGCTGATAGATGCCTGCACATTAGATCCCAAATATGCAAGTAGTAAAGCTGACCCACACCAACAAAAACACTGGCCCAGAGACAGGATGAACGCCCAGCCTGGGAGTCACATGGTGTGCAAACCAGTCACACTTGCAGCTTCGAAGCTGTGACACCACCAAAGGGCTCTATACCGTAAGCCTTGTAAAAGAGCAGCACTTCAGAAAATGTTGACACTTGTTCATTGGTAACACCTCAACTGTGAAGAAAATATGTTCCATACATGGCTCTAGTGGAAAACTATCACTTTCTTTTTTTAGTTAAATATTCCTGGGTACTTAAGACATGACTTAAGACATGCTGGGAGCGATTCAAAAAAGCTTCACGAAGTCTCTGGCCCCAAAGGCACTTACAGCATCACTGGAAAGAAAACATTTTATCACAAAAAAAAAAAGATCTAAAACATTAGAAACAAAACCACACAGCAGCAGACACGAGTGAATACAAAATATTAATAAGTTGACAAATCAGTCATATAGATATCTAGATGTCCAGATGACGAGGGGAAAGAAATCACTCTTATCTAAAGGGGTCAGAGAAACCTTTATAAAGTCTCAAAGGTCTGGTTTGAGGGTGGGGCCCACACATACACACACAGCCCCGCACAGAGCACTGTGTACACGGATGAAAAATTACGGGAGGCGACAGCCCGCACGTCAGGGGAGAGTAAACTAGACTGACCAGCATTCCTTCGCCTTAAGGTGGCAACAGAAGCACATGGACCCCATAAAAAATGATGCAGATTTATAGAGAAAAAGGTTTTCCTGCTCGATTTACCAAACAAAACTGGCATAGAGAACTTTATATGTACTTTAGGTCAAACAGATATCTATTTTCATATAAAGCCATACGATATACCCAATATTTTAAAATTAAAAAAACCTAGAGGCTATCTATAAACATCATACGCACATACATAGACAAAAGCAAAAAGCACAACCATTAACCCAGTAACCCCAGTTCTGTGGAATCACGGGAGACTTTGCTTGCTCCTGTTCTGTGCTTTGCAAGTTAGATTTACAAAAAAAAAGCAAACAAGTATTACTTTTGTGTTTTTTAGATGTTACTTTTATTTTTTGAGACAAAGTCTCACTATGTTGCCCAGGCTGGTCTTAAACTCCTGGGCTCAAGCAATCCTCCCACCTTGGCCTCCCAAGTAGCTGGGACTAGGTACTTTTATAATTTAACAATATTTATTTTAAAAGCACATATATCAATATTCATCAGGGCATGGAATATCACAGGAAGAATCACAGGAAACTGGTAACAGTGGAAAACCTTGGGAAACTGGATGACAAGACAGAAGCGGGTCAGAAAATGCACTTTTTCTGTATCACTTTCTGGTTCTTTTGAATTCAGTACCATGTTTATTATCTACTTTAAAACAAATACAATTTCTGAAAAAACACAATGATATGACACATAAGGGACATGTAAATTTCCCCTAACCTTCAAAACTATTAATGTACGTGGAAAGAGATAACAGCTGTGAACTATAAATCTTTTCCTCTAGCCACAGGAGATCTGACAAAATTCTTGCAGTAACAACCGAAAGACTGTATTCTTAGGAGATCAGGGTCTCTTCAGGGATACTTTACGCTGACCAGCGATCCAGAGCTTTCCCGGGAGTGCTGTGCCTGGTGCCCAGCTGTTCACTGTCTAACCGTCACTTGTGCCTGCAGCTCACTAAAATGGGAGTTAGGCACGGACCTTCCGAGGGCTAAATTTCATCTAAGGGACTCTAGACCCTGCAGCTTCCTTGTGCGGCTCCAATCTCCTCCTCAGGTTGGCTTCTCACCCTGTGGCCAAAATGTATCCTGTGTGGTAAGGAGACGCTGGAAGCTGGTGTCCAGGGCCTCCACGCTGCTGCTGCTGCGTTCCGTGTCGTGTCCTTCCTAAAAGCTAAGTAAACTCGGTGCTGGGCGAGCTTGCAGCGTCTGTGAACTTGAGTAAGTGGAACCTGAAGCCCACTGTGGGCTTCAGTATGACAATAAAGGACCACAGCGTCTGTTTTTTCATAGTGTAATTAGCCAAAATAATAATGAGCTACCTATTAGATCACCAGGGAACCCAAGAAAAAAAGTGCGATCTTTCAAAAACCAATGATGACATATAGCATTACACAGTGCTGTGGTTACCCACTTAGTTAATGGCCATTAGTTACAGATTGATCATGGCAAATAAGTGGCTAATTAGGAATGAAGTCGTGCAAGCACTTGCAAAGATTTTAATAAGAAAAAATGTTTTAAAGAACAGATGTAGTAGAATTATATTTTATGGGCCAAAAAGGTTTCAGTTCAGATTAATTTAATCCGGCTTCCTAGTTTATTTTTTAACTTCGTGCCATTCTATAGAGCATAAATAGTAAATGCTTATAAAATACACTTCATTTGAAATGCTTTAAATACATAACATGATTCGCACATTATGGTCTCATGAATACGTTTACAGAACACTGTAATCAGAAATTAATAGTATTGAAGTAGATACTACTATATAAACACTTGACCAACGAATGACATTTTAAACAGAGGAAGCAAAAGCACAAGCAATGTCAATTAGTGTTATTCTTTCGTTGTACTGCATGAGATTGAAAAACAAATTCTCATATTCTAGTAGTGGTATAAAAATTAAGTTACTTTCTAAACTAGATTTAAAATAGTGCTATGTCTTTAAAATACTTAACTTGTCAGAAAATTTTGACTTTCCAGTTGGTGATAGGAGCAAAATATGCCAAGAGCGCAAATCACAAGTGACACATTTCCTGCAGATCTGGGATGATGGTGGTCGGTACACACATGTCATAAACTGGCTGGCCCAATGACAAGTGCAGAAAAATATCGATTCGTGTAAGGATCTTACATGAACTCCAAGAACAAACATATTCAACAACAAAAATGCTAACTACACTTTTGTTTCTTAAAAAAAAAAACCATAAATAAGATGTTTAACCTAATAAGAGAATATCCATTTTTAAACGTCCCATAGCCGCATTTATCTTCCTTTTCAGCTGAAAGGATGAAGCACAATGGCCACAACTTTGTTACAGACTAAAATCCAACAGGTAATTCCAACACCACCTGAAAACAAAGAAATCCAACATGAGACAGCATGCCAGCAGCAGTGCCCACGTTGCCTGCCTCTGCTACCTTTAACTTATAGGAAATAACAGCATTTCAATTCCTTTTGAGCAGTGCGGGCCTAAGAAAGACTAAGTTCGTGTTTTGTCAGTCCGAAATTGTCAGACTTTCTATGGAGTCACAGGGCTGTGTTCTTTCCTAAGCAGGAATTACACTGAAAAATGGACACTGGTTGGAATTTCCCTTTCCTGCCGGAGAGATGGGCGTTACTATTTATGATACTAACAGATTATAAGCCCACCTGTAAGGCTATTTACTTTTCCTTTCTCAAAGAAGCATTATAAACAAAGCGAGGTTTGCCCATGCCTTTCTTGCCCCACTGATAATGGAGAGACACCATCATGCCCTGTCCAGGAGGACAGGCTGTGGGAGTGGCCCATGGGCTCTGCTGAATGCTTGGAAGCGTGGCCTGTTGCTCCTCTGGTCAGCAGCGCAAAGGCCCTGGCCTGGGCCCAGCTGTGTCACAGGAAAGGGAAGCAGAAGGGGAGGCGCCAGGGGTCATGGCTAAACTGTAAGTCTTTGAAACAGTCATCCCTTGTGACTATTAATTAACCTCCAGCATGATCACAAATTACCACCAAAGACCGACTGACACAGAGGTCTGCCGCAGCATTATCTTTAATACCAAACATTAGGACCTAAACAAACATCCTTCATCAGGAAATTAGCAAATTATGACACATCCAAACGAAGAAGAGCTATTGAAAATTCCTTAATAAAGTTTATTGATAGGGTGCTAAGGTCTGAATGTTTGTGTTCCCCCCCACCAAACTCATACATTGAAATCCTAACCACCAGTGATGGGATTAGGAGGTGGGGCCTTTGGGGAGGTGATTAGGTCACCAGGGCACAGCCCTCATGAATGGGATGTGTCCCTATAAGAGAGGCCCAAGGGAGTTCGTCCTTGCCTTCCTTCTACCATGTGAGGACACCATCTATGAACTAGAAAATGGGCCCTGATCAGACACCAAATGTGCCAGTGCCTTGATCTTCAACTTCCCAGCCTCCAGAACTGTCAGAAATAAATTCTTGTTGTTTATAAGCTACCCGGTTTATAATATTTCATTATAGGAGTCAGAACAGACTAAGACATGTGGGAACAGGCTTACACTATAAAGTAAAAAAGAGGTATAAAATTGTATGTGCCAGATGACCTTAACTATATCAAAATAAATGGGAAAAAAACTGGAAAAATATATTACAATAGTATGGAAATGGTATGGAAAAAATATGGATAAAAGGGGTTATCCATAGCTAACAGGACTTTTAAAAAATTATTCCTCTCTTTCTAGTTATTCTACAATGACATGTACTACTTTTAACATCCAAAAAAAGATTATCCTTCAAAAATAAAAGAATGACCAACAGCAGCAAGTACTGCAGAGAGGCCAACCAGAATAAGGATTGAAAGACACAGAATTTGGGAACTACAGGGGGTGTTTCAATAACTGGGGTATCGGACTCTAAGTATTGGTCATGGGTCATGGGTTCTGGAAACAGACCCGGGACTGAATTCTAGCTCTGCTCCTTCACATTCTGGTGACACTGGGCAAGTGACTTCGCTAGGCCTCAGTTGCTTCACTGCAAGCCTCATGTGAGGCTGAGACACAAAGCCCTGCTCACTAAGCGCACGGTGAGGATGATGCCAGGCTTCTTAATCTTCACCACACACCCCTGCATAAGTCTATCCATACTCTTCCACCATATTTGTCATTCTTACCTGCTACTCTGGTAGGAAAAGCTACCAGCCGGTCTAGCGGGGTTATCCATTTACTTGGCACGACAGCCACAGGGACAGAATAGTACTTCCAAATGAGCGAGATCATCAGAGCAGCCTGGAAAGACAGTTCTGGTCAGTGAAAACCCGTCAGCCGCACAACCAGTAACCACAGAAAGATGGGGCAATGTACAAAGGAAACTGAGGGAACTCTCCAGAATTGAAAACCTCAAGCCTAGCAATGCAGTCCTCGCAGACAACAGACACATACTGGCAGCCGCTAATTTCCATTGTTGAAACCTTGAAATAGAATGTCTGATTAAAGACGAGCTCACGAGGACGTGCAGAACACGCTGACAAGTGGGCGAGCCTTCTTATACGAACTGGCATTTTACTGTTTCAGTATGACTAGGTCTCTACACAATTTAAATTAGCTGAAAAATTAAGCAAGGTCTCCCATGACATAGGTATTCTTTTCTCATGAGAATCTCCTTCGAGTAGCCAGACTACATGCTAAATACACCTGACTGGTGGACAAAGCCATCTTCCACTTCTGAGATCCTCGAAAAACAGTAAATTCTCCCATGCCCACGAGGGTTAGTGTCAGCACACGTGCAGAGGCGAGCCCTAAGGTTCAGATTAACTGATGCTTAGTTTTCTGTCCCTTCCCCAGCAGCGCTCCTTCAGCCGTCTTCCGTCCCCTTGCTGGCCTGCACATGCCACGCAAACGAGCAGACCTTAAAAGAGAGCAGCTGACTTAACTCCTGTGTCTCTGGGAAACCTGTCTCATATTAAATGACGGTGCCTCAGGATCAATTTCCTTAAATATCCCTCAAAACCTGGGCTTTGGGGGGGTCGGCTTGAATCCTTTCCCTCAGGAAAGGTCACACATAGTACTGAAACTCACAGGCCATTTAAGGAAGCCACTGAAGCGCGGGCACACCCTCAAGGCAGAGCAGCCGCAGAACGAGGCAACAGTTTCCTGGGTGGTTAAACAAGTACAAATCCCCCAGACGATAAGGATGGGCGCCCACTTCAATGAGAAAAACTGGTCTCTACCCGGAGAGTAGAGCGCACTGTTTAAGCCCAGCAGGTAACAAGTAATGACAAATATTACTGACAATCTTAGAAAAAACATCAGTAAATGCTTCTCGCCTCATCCCCCCAGGCCCTTAAAACTGCACTGGAATAAAGGCAATAGCAAAGACCTCCAAGAAGTTACTTCAGAGTTGAATTGCCAACAAGTCCCCATCTTTAACAACTCTAATCGAGAACAAGGCTTTCTTTTAGTCTAACTTTTAAATTCACAGTGTGTGCAGACTTACACGCTGGCAGGACCAAATGACACAGCAGCTTAAAGTGGAGAAGAAGCCTGAACTCCCAGCCCTGGCTTCCACAGGCCACAGGCTTCTGCGGCCCTGTCATTGCCAACTCTGATGACCCCGCGTGACGCTATAGTTCACTTACTTGCAATATGTAGAAAGCAACACTTATAACCCATTTTATCTTTGCTAATTGAGCTGTCCGTGCTTTCACTGAAAGGAAAAAAAGGATAAAATAATGTCAGTCGTGAAAAATTAAGAAAATATTCAAGTACACAGAAACGGTATTTTCCTTTATAAAGTATTTTCTGATTATAAATGGAACAAGCGCCCAATATATTTAGAAAAGACAAAATAGAATTTTTTAGAAGTCATCTACTATCTCACTACACTGTTATTTAAAACAGAATCTCAGCCTGTGAGATTTAAAATAGCTTTAATTTTGAAAACCCTTCAAGTGATTCATCTAAATCAGAGATTCTTTTTATAATGCAATTGCCACTTACTAACAGGACTAAATATTCCTACTTCCCAGTCTACACACCGCATGAACTCCCAAGTGGGAGTCCAGCTTGCCCCAGCTGGACAGGCCCCTGTGCATGCTTTCCTAGGCGTAGAGACAGCTCTCATGGGGCGCACACCCCCACAAGGCCTCTCGGCACACAGACCGCCCTGTGAAAATGTCTTCACCACAGGAGACTGTACCTTGAAGTCTACAGTCCAATAAGGACACGGCTGGGCATTTTCTAGAGAGTGGAACAAAAGCCCCTGGGAATCCACTATGAGATATTTTTCTCTCAGAAGAATGAATTTCAAAATGAAAACCTACAATAACAAGTTGGCTCTGAAGAAAATCTAACAGGATCCTAGATGTTTGTGTTCAGAAAGCAAAGGTTCACCAGCAAATAAAGAGGAAATAATAATTATTATTGGGTTTCTTCTAGACAACTTAAAGTTTCTATCGACACTGAAAATATCCAAGAAGTAAAGCATATATTATATGAATCTTTATACAAAGACTTTGATATTAATCAGCTCTTAGGAAGCTTTCCAGGCTACAGCTGACACCAGTACCATAAGGTGGGGTTTTTTTGTTTTTTGGGTTTTTTTTGGTGAGACAGGGTCTTGCTCTGTCACCCAGACTGGAGTGCAGTGGCATGATCACAGGTCACTGCAACCTCCAACTCCCAGGCTGAAGCAATCCTCCTGGCTCAGCCTCCTGAGTAGCTAGGCCTACCATGCCTGGCTCATTTTTTTAATTTTTTGTAGAGATGGAGTTTTGCTGTGTTGCCCAGGCTGGTCTCGAACTCCTGGGCTCAAGCGATCCTCCTGCCTCGGCCTCCTGAAGTGCTGGGTTTACAAGAATGAGCCACAGTGTGCAGCCAAGTACCATGAGTTTTGAGCTTATCTGTCATCTTGTTAATCTTCCTTTCCAGCCTGGCATATCTGGCAAACTCGTCCATCATGTTGACCGTGGAGAGCTCTTGCTTCATGTCCTGGATCTCTGCTCTCATCTGTGACTCCTGCTCCGCGTCCTTCTGCAGCACCCTGGACATCTGGCAGAGTAGACAGTTGGGATCAGTGCCTTCCCACTTCGGGTAAAGAGGGAAGTCCCCCAGTCCCCCACTAACTTTCTTTCCCAGAGTGTTAACCACTCTGTGACCTGGCCAGCTGCATGTTTTCCCTGCAGACTTGAACCCAACCTGGGGCCCTGAACATCCCCAGGTGCTGATAAAGAGTTTAGGCTGTTGTTTGAAAACACTGAGAGATTAACCCTGTTGCTAAACATGTACAAACTAGCCCCTGCCCTGAGCCAAGTTCCTTAAAACCTCTTATGAACTCCATAACCCAACCCCTTTGTGGTGTACATACCTAGGTAAATCATCCCTTTCTTTGTCTGTCGTGACTGCTGCTGCAACACTTTGTAAATTCCCTTAATAAATGCTCTGGACTATCAACCTGGTGTTTGTGCTTCTTTCTTTGCAATCCCAGCTGGCCCCAACTCTGGTCAGTTTGGAGCAGTCCCCTGAGGGACCTCCCCACCTCACTGCTTTTAAGGCAACTCCAGCACAGGTCTGACCCAACAGAACAGGTATACACCTCCCTCCCACATCCTATTGCTGCTCCTTCCAACTGGGAAGCTGCCCTTTATCTACGTGGCCAGCCTCCGCGGCCTCTTCCTGCTGCCTACAACTGCCGCCCGTCCCCCACCCAACACACACACACAAACTCCCTCATATTTGAATTGCTATTCAAACTATATTTTTCCTTTTTCAGACATGCTCATGAATTGCTACAGTACGGATGTATGTATCTATCACTGTAACTAAAATTGAGATTATAAAATGAAAACCAGTTCCATCACCAGAGCCATCATTCAAGGGAACATGCATCCTCTTCCCTTCCTGAAGAAGTCAGTCCTAGATTAGACAGGGCAGAGCAAGGTGGGGTGCAGGGTGCCAGTGATGAGGTGGTGGCCCAGAGCAGAGTGCCAGAGCCCAAGGACAGCTTGGAGGGCCTTCCTAGAGGGGCACCCTGGCAAGGGGAGTCAGGGCCATGCATAGTGGCACAGGAGACGTCAAGAAAGGGCAGCCTTTCTGACACGGGAGGTAGAATCTGAGCGGTGAGGGCATGGGTGCATGAGACAGGAGAGAGAACCCTGCCAAACTCAGGGTCAGAGCCCAAGGGGGGCTGGGTGGGTAGGGGTTGGCGGTGAAGACAGATTAGTTACAAAGGATCGATCCTATCAAGTAAACATACTGAGGATAACGGAGCCAGGCTTCAAACTGTCAGAGGGAGAAATATGCGTCGCGAGGGAACCAGAATGAATCTTGTGGTGTTGGCTTAGAACCGAAGGTAAGGGTGCGAACTCGGTTTCCTACCGATAGAGAAATAAACACTGACATAAATGTATGTAAAGAGGCGCCCTCCCTGGTACCTACCGGGAGAGGGGCCCTGCGTGTCTCCACAGGGCCCTCTTGGCCCCTCTTCCCGACACCTGCCAGTCCCCTATACTGGGACAGCCTCCAGGCCTCCGGCAGGCGCGGCGCTCAGGAGACGAGAAGACGACGGCCACCAGGTGGCGCCCGCCAGCCACCGCGGAGGGCCTGGGTCCCCGCACCGCGAGGGTGCCGGGTAGGGCTAAGAAAACCTGGGGAGGCGGCTCTGGCGACCTGCCCAGAGTGATCGGCGAACACCCCCAGGTCGCAGTCCTGTGGGTGAGATGTAATGAGAACACAGCCCTGCCAGACAGCAGGCCAGGCCGCAGTGGCCGTTCTGCAAAATCACTGCCCTCTGCACGTCGAGGAGAGACCGAGAAACCCCTCCTGGTGGAAGGGGCCTACAAGTAAACGCAGAGACCCGACAGGTAAACGCAAGGCATGGTTCCCATGTGGGTCCTTTTGCTGTAAAGGGCGTTATTGGGACACGTGGGAAACCCGAACGGGACCTAAGGACTTGACAGTAGCAAACTACTTCACATCGTGAACAAGGCCGCTGTTTACACACCAGGGTACCCGGAATGAGGGGCTCAGGTTGACAGCTTAGTTTCAAACGGCTCAGGAAACAAAATTGTTTCTTTGTACTGTATGCATAACTTTTCTTTGTGTTTGTTTCAAAATTTTACAAATAGATTAATAAAAAAGATGAAGGGGGATGAGAATCTAAAGAGTACCTAGCACACAGCAAGTGCACAATAAGTGAGTTTGTCCCCGCCTCCCCCCACCCCACACGTGCCCTCCTGCCTGCCGCACAGTAGGACAACTCTTCAGCTAGAGCTGGAAGCCGAGCCCTGCCAGTCCCCTTGGGGTGCGGCCGGCCGTGCACAGGTTCCTGGGACGCCTGCAGAGGTTCCCTCCCTGCCCCCAGTGTCTGCGCAATGAGGACCTTAGCATGGGGCGGTAGGATGGGGGGAGGGGGAGATCCCTGCGGGCCTCCTGCAGGGAGGAGAGGTCTTCAAACCCAGCTCTCTCTTTGTGGTGCCCCCTGCCTTGGCCTGATCATTAACCAGTGCTCTAACTAAAGGAAACATACTCCAGCCTGAGCCGCCCTGGACAAGGAAGTAGGAATGCGCCGAATTCTTTTTTACAGAATCTCCAGGCGTCGTGGCTCACACCTGTAATCCCAGCACTTTGGAAGCCAAGGTGGGAGGATTGCTTGAGGCCAGGAATTCAAGACCAGCCTGGGTAACATAGTGAGACCCCCAACTTTACAAAAAATAAAAAATAAAGTAGCCAGGCGTGGTGGCAGGGGCCTATAGTCTCAGCTACTCGGGAGGCTGAGGCAGGAGGATCGCCGGAGCCCAGACCTTTGCGGTTGCAGTGAGCACTGCACTCCAGCCTGGGCAACAGAGCAGGACCTAGTCAAGAAAGAAAGAGACAGAGAAAAAAAGAAAGAAAAGATAAATCACAGAATCATCTTTCAAAAGCAAGAATCTACAGCCACTACTTAAGGACTTTTTGATAATTTCACTGTATGCAAATTACACCAATAAATCTGATTTTTAAAAGAAGAAAATGAGGCACAAAGACATTCACCATTATAGAAAATATACAAAACAAAAACTGAAAAGGTCAAAAATGGTTACTCAGGAGTGGAAGGTGAGCGAGGGCAGGAGGGTGAACTGGAAATGAAGGGAACTGAAGGCAGCTTTATGGTTAAATCACTTAAGACAAATGGTGTTTGAAAAAATGTTACATATTTAAGTACAATAAAAAATATTTGGGCC